TAAGGTAAAGGTTCCCCTCGCACATCTGTGCTAGTCGTTCCCGACTCTAGGGGGCGGTGCTCATCTCCGTTTCAAAGCCGAAGAGCCAGCGCTGTCCGAAGACGTCTCCGTGGTCATGTGGCCGGCATGACTCAACGCCAAAGGCTCACGGAGCCCTATTACCTTCCCACCAAAGATGGTCCCTATTTTTCTACTTGCATTTTTACATGCTCTCAAACTGCCACATTGGCAGAAGCTGGGACAAGTAACGGGAGCTCACTTTGTTACGTGGCGCTGGAGATTCGAACCGCCGAACTGCCGACCCTTCTAATCAACAAGCTCAGCATCTTAGCCACTGAGCCACCGCGTTCCCCCTACATTTGGCATAGACAATCTATAAAGCACAATAATACACGGGTTTATAATTATCCTTAGGGATAATTCTGAGAAGTTTTTTAAAAAGTGTTTTTTAAAAAAAGTTTTTTATTTTTATTCTCTTATATACAGGTATACATTCACATAGTTATTGTTCTTATTTACCTTTATCACTTTTGCATATTTGTTTTTCCATATAAAAAGTTAAAATACACATTCTGGATTGCTTTGCTTATGATCCCGTACACCTATTTTGTATTATCGCCATCCTATTCTTTTATTTTATTTTCACCCTCCCTCCCTTCTCTACTTCTTTCCTTCCTTTCTCTTCCCTTTTTCACCAAGTTTTTTTTAAAAGTTGATCTTCCCCATCCTTCAAGGAATGGGTGTGGCAGGGACCCACAAAGTACCACAAACTTCACACCCACGAAGCACCACCTTTAGAGACGCCCAAACTCCCATTTTTAGCAATTTCCAAGCTTTTCAAAGCCCTGAATAAATAAAAAAGGGGGGATCAGTCCACCCCAAAGACCCCCCACCATCCCCCCCATAGGTTGAAACTGACTAGAGCGAGGCCCCCGGCAGCCTCCCCTGCCGTCCTCGGCCTCTCACCTCCCCTTAGCACGAAGAGGTCGGTCTGCTTGTCGGAGTTGAAGTCCCCGAAGGCGGCCAGCGTCCCGAAAGCCTCAGCCCCGAAGAGCTGCGAGGTGACATTCTGCAAGGCCCGGACGGGCTTCAGCAACGCCCCGACCGTCACTAGCAGCAGCAGCGGCGGCCATAGCAGCGAGGACCGGCCACGCCGAGCCAGGACGGGGCGGCAAGGCGCCCCCATTGCGGGCGGTAAATTCCTACCGGTTCCTTTGGCAGGGACGCGCGACTTCCGGGTTCGCTTTACGGCACCGATGGATTGCGCCTGCGCGGAGGGGTGTCGGTGTAGTTGGGCGGGCGCATTTACGGCGGAGCCTAGCAACCGTCGTTGGGTTATTGACAAGGGGGCGGGGACAAGCGCCTGGCTTTTCAGCCCAGTCGCTTCGGGCGGAGTTTTGAGCGGGCCGCTCGTCCTCCTCCTCTTCCTCCCGCCGCCATGGCGTCTTCTCTGGCCGATGTGAGCTGGAAAATGCTGGAGCTGAGGGCCCGCTCCAAGCGCTCAGGTCTGACTTCTCTTCCCCACCTCCCCGCTCCCCTCTCTGCGTTGTCTTCTCCCCTTGTCTCGCTCGCCTTCCTATGGTCGCTTGTGCAGCGGAGCATTTGGAACTCCAACTCCCAGGATGCCCCGCGAGCCCGGCTTCTCCCTTTGCTCCTCTCTCTCCCCTCGTTCTTTCTCCAGCCTAAAGAGCTGAACGTCTGACAGGGAACTCTGGGAGTTGTAGTCTAAGCGCTTGCCCCGTTTCTTCTCCTCCTCCTCCTCTTCTTTCCTGCTCTCTTTTCCCATCCGTCGCTTCCCACCACAGGGAGGACTTGCAGTTGGAAAGGCTGCAGTTGAAAGTTTTGGGGTTTGTTTGTTTTTTAAAAGACCTTTATAAAATGTTAAAAAAATTAAAGTTAGAGTCTTACCCAGAAACTTTTGCCTGGTCCTCTTGATCATTTAAGGGACCACTGGTGATTTAGGGGTCATTTAAGGATATTGATCATTTAGGGCAGTGGTCTCCAACCTTGGCAACTTTTAAGACTTGTGGACTTCAACTCCCAGAGTTCCTCAGCCAGCTTGCTGAGGAACTCTGGGAGTTGAAGCCCACAGGTCTTAAAGTTGCCAAGGTTGGAGACCACTGATTTAGGGGACTAAGATGCTGAGCTTGTCGATCAGAAAGGTTGGCAGTCCGGCAGTTTAAATCCCTAGCAGTGTGAGCTTCTGTTACTTGTCCCAATTTCTGCCAACCTAGCAGTTGGAAAGCATGTAAAAATGCAAGTAGAAAAACAGGAACCACCTTTGGTGGGAAGGTAACAGCGTCCCGTGTGGCTTCGGTGTTTAGTCATGCTGGCCACATGACCATGGAGATGTCTTCGGACAGCGCTGGTTCTTCAGCTTTGAAACGGAGATGAGCACTGCCCCCTAGAGTCAGGAACAACTGGCACATATGTGCGAGGGGAACCTTTACCTTCCAAGCTTTGCATCCCCCTTCATGGGCTGGAAGGGGCTCACTTTGGGCCAGATCCCTTTGTTTCCTCTCTCCCTCCCCCCTCTGAAAAGAGGGGGGAAATTAAGACTGCCCTGTGGCCCATAGATAGATAGATAGATAGATAGATAGATAGATAGATAGATAGATAGATAGATAGATAGATAGA